AAAAAAAAAACGAAAATATTTTGTTAGGTGTTCACAGAATTGGAGCGAAAGTACGGAGAAATAGACGAGATGAACGTTTGCGAGAATATTGGTGAGCATATGATCGGTAATGTTTACGTGAAGTTCGTTCGTGAAGAGGATGCAGAGAAGGCCGTAAACGATCTGTCGAATCGATGGTGAGTGCAGTGATCGTGTCACCGTTGTTGTCGTTTCTCGCCTATCTACTGCTCACTAGAGAGTTTCCATTCGGACTACTACTACCACTACTACTACTATGTGTATGGGTCAGAAAAAGCTTAGAGAAAGCATCGAATGAAGAGTGTTGTTTGTTGAAAAGTCAAGTTAAACTGAACCCATTCAGATAAAAATGTAAATGATTGATTGTCCATCCATCTACCCTCTCATCTATCTACTAATGTCCGTCACAATGCGCTATATACTCTCGCGGTATGCTATATGCATATATATAGCGAAAAGGAAAGGTAATTTCAATTTTGAATGCTAATCGGAGTGATCATAATAATAATACTGATGATGATGATGATCGTGATCATGATGTTATGATGATAACGATTTACAACTCAATTTCATATTATTCTTCATGCACCTATTTATGTATACAGAGTGACCTNTGATGATAACGATTTACAACTCAATTTCATATTATTCTTCATGCACCTATTTATGTATACAGAGTGACCTTAAAGAACGGTGGTTTTTCGCAAACTCTTTGAACATTTATCGAGCAATTTCATTGTGGTTCTGAACGCACTAATCGGTTGTTCATTTCCAATGACGTGAAATTCGGTTGGGAATTAACTGCAGATCAGGAAGGTGGTGGACGCTATAACTGCTAGTTTAGAGTAGTGTGCCGCGGAGATGGGCGAATTTTGAGTAAACATCCTTGATTCCAAGTCACCATCCTGGACGGTTTTTTCGAGCTCAGGGCTACATTTTTGCGGTCCCGGATTGCAAAATTTTGATTTTTTGCTCGACTTTTTTCCATGTTCGCAACTTACTAGCATAAAGATAGTTGACCTGGGATATTGGACATCACAGAGGTGCACTCTAAACTCAAATTTGTTGCCGAAATACCTCGTCTATCGTATCCAACCATAACAGCTGCTCAATGGTGTTGAATTGCTAGATGAATGTAGAGAGGATTCGCTTGTTTGTTGCGGAAAACCAACGTTTGCAAAGTTCAGTCTATAGATTCGAACGCAGTGCTGCAACAAGTGATGTCTACACAACTTATGCAGACGCGTTCCTTAGGTTCTAATTTGAAGGTTCAACGGACAGCCAATTTATGCGGAGCTTTCGCCGGTAACAGATTTCCGAGAGGCGAGATGTCGTCAGCATGAAGTGACCACGTGCTCGAAAGGTGGCTTCTGTAACTTTATGCATTTGAAAGCAATCAGTCCCGAACTGGGTGAACGACTCTATGGCCGACGGTTGGCACAATTTTATTTTGATGTTTCACACA